CAATTTCTTTATCATTCACAAATCTATGAATCTCCTAATATGAAAGATTCAAATTATCCACACGACTATTTCGTGCTGGTTTTGAATTCGTCAATAACAAGGTGAATGTTATAGTTGACTACGAAATATAATTATCACTATATTTATCATTATACATGATTGAATAGGTAACTATTCGTATATAACTAGTGAACTGTTTTAGTTAACTATATTTAAGTGTTATTTATGAACTATTTTGATAAACATAGACTAAAAAATATACAATTATAAAAATTATATAGTTAACTATATTATTACAATTGAATTAGTTATTATAAAGATTATATAGTTCACTATATTATTAATTGAATGGCTAACTATAACAACATAAAAAGTAAGAATATAGTCAACTATACAAAGTAGGAATTTTAGCTAACTACAATAACATAGAAAGTAGAAATATAGTCAACTATAGGGAGAACGACCAATTCTCCTAGGAACTCACTAGTTGCTGATTATTTATACAGGAACTTTGAACCCATGCCAAAAACTACATGAACTAAGTATTTTTTTTGAAATAACCACATAAAGTATTAAAATGTGGTGAATTCCTACAGACCCGTTAACGAATTCAATTTTCCGTCAATAGTTGATGAAGTGGACTACAGGTGGCAAACGGATTGGTTTTGGTATAGAGTTGACCGATATATATATATTTTTTAAATCAGAAGTTAAAACGACGACGTTTTAGAATTGGGGAAAATTTAAAATTAGGGTTGCGTCATTCTTTTGTTTATCCCGTTTGGTTTTTGAGAGATAAAAAAATGGAGAATCATTGATAGAGAGATAGAGAGATGGAGAGTTTAAGAGACATGGAGAATTAGGCTTCTTTGTGTGTTTCGCATCAAATCGACCAAAAAAGAAAAATGATGGAGCCCATGTAAACAGACGACCAAAGAAGAAGAAGGATGTGCCATAAGATCAATCAGATTTTATGGAAGGATCAAGTCAACAAATGCAAATCCAAGTGGTTGACTAAAGTAAGCCTTTATTAGATTTGTTCTATATGTTTTGGTTTTATGATTTGGTACATGTTACAGGTTTTAAAGTAAGTCTCGATTCTTTGTCTTCTTGTTTGATTTGTTATATGTGTTGGTTTTATTTGGTTTCCGTTACAGATTTTATGTTTTGCATCTGTTCTTTTTCTTCTTGTTTGATTTGTTATCTTCTTGTTTGATTTGTTATATGTATTGATTCTAATTGAGTCAAGTGGTTAGTGTTTTGTAGGGGCTAAGAGAGGGCAGGAGGTGGCAGATTTTGAGGATAATGATATGATGTATATTGTTGTTTTTAAGTAGAATTATATTGCGGATTTGATGAACACCCTGTTGATGTACTAAGATGATATGATGTATTTTGGATTCAAGTAATATGATTTGGTTTTCGATTTTTGTTGTTCTCCACATCTACAGTGGGTCACACATAATTGTCTTGACGATTTCCCCCATATCTCTTCCTTCCCATCTCTTGAAATCGACACAAAACAAAAGAGAAATAAGAACCCTAATTTTTGATGTTTTTACCCTCAAATCATCAACAGACCAATTAAAAAACTAAAAATAAAATCAAATTTAAACAAATTCGTTTGCCACCTATAGTCCATGTCATCAATCATTGACGGAAAATTGAATCCGTTAACGG